TAAGTTGTTGATCATTCCTAGCTCAGTGTCTAATCCACTATACCATCAAAGCATCAACAGAATCCCTATCAAAGTCCCAACAGCATTTTCATTTTGCAGAAAAGAAATTTCGTGAGGAACAATTTTAGGGAAAAAACAAAATAGTAGAACTCTTGCTTCCTTATTTAAAAGCATAATATCAAGTTATAGTAACCAAAACAGTGTCATACTGCTGTAAGGATAGCCAAACAGAAAAAATGGAATAGAATTGACGTTCGGAAATAGACTCTTACTTATAAAGAGAACTGATTTTCTAAAAGAGTGCCAAGTCCATTGAATGGGGTGGGGATAGGGGTGGGGGATAGTGCTTTTTTTCTACAAATGGAGGTGGGACAATTGGATCTCCAGATAATGAGAGTGAAGTTGGACTTCCTACCTTAACGCTATATATGAGAATAGCCCCAAATGAGTCAATGACAAATACAAGAACTAATGTAAGTGTAAATCTTCAGTCCCTTGATTTTGACAATGTATTCTGATATATGCCATCCAAAGCATGAGCTACGAAAGGCAAAATAGGTAAATTGAAGTTCATTAAAATTAAAAACTGCACCTTCAAGGTTTTTCATTAATGAAGTTAGTGAAATAAAAATGGGAAAAAATATTTGGGAATTACGTGTCTGATAAAGGTTTGATATCCAGAATACATAAGGAACTGTGCAACTCAAAAATAAAAATACTTAGATCAATTGAAATGGACAAAGAATAGTTCTATAGATAAGATATATACAAATGGCCAATAAAGAACATGAAATATCATTAGTTGTCATTGTTAGGTGCCATCGTGTCAGTTCCAACTGACATAGCAACCTGTGTACAACAGACAACCGGTGTACAACCTGTGTACAACTCTCATCCTTACTCTCCATCGTTCCTAACACTCATTGCCACCTAACAACAGCTCGGACCCATTGTTGCCTCCAGTGTCAGTCCACCTCATTGAGGACGGTTCTCTTGTTTGCTGTCCAGCTGCTTCACCAAGCACGATGCCCTTCCCTCCCTGAGACCAAGGCTTGTGGTTTTCTCTTCTAGGGAGTATGCTGACCGTACTTCTTCCAAGACAGCCTTGGTCATTCTTCTATAAATCCGTAGGATAGTCACTATTCTTTGCCTATACCATAATTCAAAGTGCACCAATTTGTTTTGATCCTCTTTATTCATTGTCCAACTTTCACACGTATTATATGTGTATGACGTGATTGAAAAACTATGAGTTGTGTCCGACACATCTTAGTGCTCAGAGTGCTCTGTCACACTTGAAGGAGATCTTGTGCAGCAGCTTTGTCTAATGCCTCCAGCCATTTGATTTCTTGGTAGATTTGATTCGTCATTAGAGGAATGGAAATGAAAACCTCGGAGATACCTCTTCGCACCCACTTCAGTGGTTACTGTCAGAAAGACAGAAAGTAACAAGAGTCGTTGAGGATGTGGGGAACGCTTGTGTAGTCAGGGGCGTGGAAAATGGTGCGACAGCAGTGGAACATTTTGGTGGTTTCTCAAAAAGCCAAACATAAGATTACTGCATTGCTCCGCATACGTTGTATACCCGAGAGACTTAGGCAGAAATGTAGAGATTTCTATAACAATGTTCAGTGTAGTGTTAGCCATAGTAGCTAAAAGGTGGAAACAACCCAAGTGTCCATCAACAGATTAATGCGTAAACAAACTAGTATGTATGTGCAGTGGAGTTTTAGTATAAAGAGAAATTAACCTCTAAGTTCTGATCATTGCAATCATAGGAATGAGCCATGAAAATATTATACTGAATGAAATAAATTGTATGTTATATGATCTGTCTTAAGAATGTGTCAGATAAATTAATTGAAAGAGAATGGAATTTTTTATGAACTTTATGAAACCCCCCTACACTCCCCCTTTGTTGAAATATCTCAAACTCTCAAAACTTAAACTCACGTCATCAAGTTGATGCCGACTCATAATGACTGTACAGGCATACATAGTAGGACAGGGTAAGACTGCCCCTGTCAGTTTATAGTTTCGGGCACTGTAACTCTTTACAGGAGTAAAAAACATAGTCTTTCTCCAGCAAAAAGGCTGGTGGTTCCCAACTGCTGACCTTGCGACTAGAAGCCCAAAGCATAACCACGTCTCCATACGTAGAATATGGAAATACGCTCAGGTCTTTGGGGAATAATTTTAACTGTGTGTTTCCAAAATCGATCTGGAGCATTTCAGATCATAGACTTAATGGTTGGTTTGACTTTATGATCTTTGGTTTTTCAATATTCATTAAAATGCTAGCTTCTACTTAATTAGTTATGGCCACAAGGTGGCATAATTCTCTTATGGGTTTTGTTATTGCTGAAACAAAAGAAAACTGCCCTCAGTAATGAGAATTCTCTCCTCTGACTTGGCTTTAAGTTGGACTTTATATAGTGTCATACTTAGTATCACAGAATGTTTTGATATTCTATTTATGATTATAGTACATTACACAGTGATTGGGAGAATGTTAATTCAAACTATTTCATAGAGTATAGTTGATTTAGCTACTTGTTTAAAAACAGAACAGTGTGAACCTCTAGAGTTAGAAAGTAGAATAAGGGATTTGGGGGAAGGTGGGTACAGTGGTGGCGGTGGGGGTGGGGGGGAATCTATGTCAAGGAATCCATGTAGAAAAGAAATGCTTGGAAACTGATTGTGGTAGCAAATGTACAACTCTGTTAGACCTCATTGAACTATGGAATGACGATATGTGTTAAAAAAAAACCCAATATACATAAACTGACAGAGGGATATTTACAGCCCAAGAAGAGAGGTGTCAACTTCTAAATAGTTACTGAATCATGGGCAAAATGCTTGATGTAATATTTTTGTCTGGCTTCAATGGCTTAATGGGTAGGAGAGAGGGGTGTGTGTAAGGAAGAGCAGGGATGCCAGGTTGTCTGCGTGTTATTAGAGAAGCTGCCTTGTGAAACAGAGGAAAGAACTAGGAGGCAAAGGGCACTTATAGAGGTCTAAATACAGAGACGTACATAGTAAATATATTTATATATAA